AAAGAGGGGGGCAGGCTTATCTTGCCAGAAAAGCAGCTCCAGCCGTGCTGGAGAGCATGGAAAAAAACTAGCACGTCGCTGTGGTTGCAGCACAAGGTCTTCCCAGACCAGGACACTCCTCTGATGGGAGCTGACATCTCCCCAAGGGATTTTCCATGAGCCACTCCCCAATCCTCTGGGTCCTTTCTGCACCACAGCGCTGTGCCAAGGCATCAGAGAAATTAATACCAAAGAAAAATGCAGCTGGACAGGTTGGGCACAGGAGACTCCTGTGGAGGAAAGCAATTGCAGGAGGCCCCCCTCACCCAGCCTTCCTCCAGAAATAGAGTCAGGTTGCTTTTCTGCAAGCTCCCTGCAATGCGCTTGCCTGAACTTGCTCTTGCTCCTGCAGCCCACGGAGACCGAACGCTGCATCGAGTCCCTGCTGGCCGTCTTCCAGCGGTACGCGGGGAGGGAAGGGGACAACTGCATGCTCTCCAAGAGGGAGTTCCTCGCCTTCATGAACACCGAGCTGGCTGCCTTCACAAAGGTGAGCAAAATCCAGGCCAAAAGAGTCTCCCGTAGCGTGCGCTTCAGCCCCTGGGACAGCAGCTAAAGCCTCTGCCCCCCCAGGCACCGTGGGGTGGGCAATGGGAAGAGCTCGCTCCCACCAGCAGCCAGAGCATGGCCTGACAAGAGTTGGCCTGACTGAGTTCTGCCTCCCTCTGCCAATCCCTCTCCACTGGCGATGAACTCGGCAGCAGCAGTTCCACACCTTTGCCTCGAGGCCGACATCGATTCCCATCTCTTTGGTCTTTTGCAGAATCAGAAGGACCCAGGTGTCTTGGACAGGATGATGAAGAAACTCGATTTGAATAGTGATGGGCAGCTAGACTTCCAGGAGTTCCTGAACCTCATCGGGGGCATTGCGCTGGCCTGCCACGATACCCTGATCCTTAAAGCCCCTGGCCCTTAGCCCTGGCTGCCCTGTCTCCCCCACCACTGTGAACATTCCTCGAACAAGACCGTTGCAAAGCTGGAAGCAATGCCCTTAAGATAGGAACATCCCCATTCCTCATTTTTATGTATAAAATAAACGGTTTTAAATCCCAGTGTAAGGCATGGTTTTATTTCAGCATCATGAGTGGGGAGAAAGCACTAGGAAAGTAGCCCAGCCACAGAGGGAGCAGGATCTCTAGGTCCTACCCTCTGCTTCTCCACTGATGCGAGAACATGCTTGTTCTCATCCTTGTCACTGCTGGAAACTACGATGCGCCTGGCTTTGGAGATTCTCCAGCCTGTCAAGTACCCTGGGGAAAGGTACAGTAACACTAAAGGGTACAACTACACAAGGTAAATGCAAAGACAGGAGCATTACCAATAAGGATAATTTGAGCACTGGCAACAGCAATTACACACTAATAATTAGCAGAAGCAGCCCCTGCTGGCATGATAAATTATTTTAGGGACTACAGCCTCCATTTTCTGGAAACTTCAAAACCCTCCAAGTCTGGTAGCTTAACAGTGCAAAAGGGAGGGGGTGGGGGGAAGGTGAAAAGAGGAAATTAAATCTGATCTCTCTTCTACCTCAGTAAGACCAACTCAGCTGCAAAACAGGAAGATCAAGTTGGTCAATTTACTTTATTCATGAGAGAAGCTGATTATTTTGAGAAACGTTGCTAGGACAACAAAACAAAAAGTCAACACTAGCTCTTGGATGCTGAGCTGCTCTCTTGCCACTTCCGAGGGGAGCAGAGCTGCCCTTGAGCAAGGCTCTGCGCTGGCCCCGGTTCCAGACAGTGCCACATTCCTATGAGAGCCAGGCTCGGCATTTCCTGCTGTCCAGGCTGCAGCAGGGTCTTCGAGCTCTTCTTTCAGGAGCTCAACATTAAAGGACGTAAGGGGCAGCTGCTGCCTCCTCAAGCAGTTTCTACAGAGTGCACTGTGTGGTAACAAGGGCTCAGCAAGAGCCACCCTTTACCCTCTGGAAAAGATTTGCCTTGAGACAATGGTAGAGAGAAACTTCAGATCAGCTGGATCTGGAAACAGAAGCGCAAGTTGCTCCTACTTGGAAGCAGCAGAGAGTCTCACTACAGCATTCCTGGGTGGGGAAGAGCAGGTAAGACACAGCACAGGCACGGCTACGGTAAAGAGACTAGACTAGAAGCTGGAATGGTGAGGTGAAAGTTTCCACACTGTGCTGTGAAACGGGACCCTTTCCCTCCGATCTCACACCTCCCCAGGACAGGCATACCCTAGCGGAACTGGAGCGGGCTGATCCGCAGCCCGATGACATCTTTGCCGATCTCCGTCACCTGAGGAATAAAAGGGAGATGATTAATGCTTAAAAGAAACTCAATAGCCCAACCCCGTATGCAGCATTCAGAGCCTAGATGGTTCTCGAGAACACACGCTGCCGATCACTGCAATGTCAGTCCCTGAAGGTAGCATTTAAACTACATAGTATTTCACAATTCCCAAACTGTTCCGCCTCACATGCCAAGTCTTCCGACATTCAGCTTGATCCACAACCCACGCCAAGTCAGTTTAGGGAGAGCATGGGGGAAGCTGCTGAAGGGGATTCTCAAGGGAAACACCATGGGCTAAGAGGTAACAGACGTTGAGACTCCCTTACTGTAGTGACGCGGCAGATCTGCCCATGGAACTCGGGGCAGTAGCAGGCTCCACTGAGTGGACACTTCTCCACGGGTTTGCCACGATAGATGGGTCGGTAAGAGGCTGCACAGATGTCAAAGGGGTTGTGCATGTCATAGTTGAGCTGGTAGGTGTCAGTGGGATTCTTCTCACATGCTGACAAGATCTTGCGAGTCTGCAAAAAGCAACCACATTGACCAGAGGGGCAGCTAGGAAGCAGTCCAAATCTGCCACAGCAGATATTTCTGCCCATGCATCTCACAGACATACCTGCTGGGCCACCTCAGGCTTTGGACCCAGCTCCAGCAGCCGACGAGCAAAAGTAGCAGCTGTCTTGAAGTTTTTGAGTTTGAAAAAGAGGTTGAGAGCAGTACGCAGCACCAAGATCATGTGGACAGGCTGCAGGTTGGAGTGGGTGAAATAGGCAGCCATCTGCATTAGGGAGAAGGAGGGAAAGTAGGGATACGATCACTACCAACCACGTGAATAACTGGATGCCCTGAAAATGCTGCAAGAAACCCCTCCCAGGTAATCACGGCCACATCTGCTTTAAAGGAGGAAATGGCAGAATTCAGGATTCCCAATGCCTTTTGAAACCCAAAGGCTACTTCCCTCTCATAGTGAAGAAATTCACAGTTTCTGTACCTCACAGATTCGCTTCTGCTGCTCCAGGGTCTCTTTGGGCAGCTTCTTCCGCTCAATCTCCATTGAGAGTCCTACAATGTACTCCCGGCAAATGGCTATCAGCTGCTGGGCCTTTCAGAAAGGGAGACAGAGTCAGGCATTCGGCCTCCTGCCCCACAGGCATGCAGGCAACAGACAGAAGGGTCTGCCTCTCACCTCAGCAATCTCCTGCTTGTTGTCCACCACCAGCAAGGGCACGCTGAGCAAGATGGAGCGGAACTTCTCCACGGCCTCCTCAAACTTGCCAGCCGTAGTGAGCTGGTAGCACAGCTGCAGGCGCTGGATCAGGTCGTTGAGTTTCAGTCCAACGGCAGGGAGGGCATTCTTCAAGCCAGCTTCTTTCCTGGGGGCACCAAAGAGGGGTTGAGGGTACAAACGGGACCACTGCAGAGGCCAGCAGGAACACACACAGTCTCAGCTCGACTGCAACTTGTCAGAAATGTTTTGACTTAGGGCCACGCTGCTTTTCTTTGCCGTTAGCTTAGCGCAAAAGACATCTGTGCTTCCATAATTCTGCCACCCACAATGCCCAGCTCTCTCTGCATTAGCGCAGGCTGGGAAGTCTGGCTCATTTTTCTACAGTGGCTTCCAGGCATCACTGTAAAAACACACCTGTGGTTCTCTAGATGCCTCAGACCGGCTTTGTCAGAGGCAGAGCATTAGCGCTAGAAAACACAGCACGGCAACTGCCTCACCCTGGGTTTAGTCTCCAAAAAAAATGAAAGCAATTCTTTAACATCTTTACATCTAACAGCAGGCAGCAGAAAAATCCCACTAAAGACACAATGCTCTCTATTTATATCCAGCAAAGAGGAAGGCTCCTCCCTTCACAAGAGAGGGAGGAGACATTTCTGGCTACAACTGTCAAGGAGTCTGGGAGGTATATGCACAAGGAAAAGAGCACAGAAAAGGAGCTAACCCGATTGCTTACCAGTTGCGATGTGGGTATCCATACATGGTAGGGAGACATGGCAGGGCTTGGTAGGTCGTACGGCCACGGGCATAGGTCTGCAGGAACAGCTGCTTGTAGGGTCCAAAGTTTGTTACTCCTACCTGGTCATGAAGGAGCTGAAAGAGACACATTGATCTGCTGATTAAAAGTTGTCCAGGGCTGTACAAAGGCCGCACAGACATCACTCAGGCACCTCTTATTTATACCCAGAGAAAACAATGCACAAAGTGATTCACAAAAGGACACAAAACAAAGACTGGATCAGAGACAAAAATACATGGGGACGAGGGCACAATCTTTTCCCTAGAAACTCCAGGGGAAACTTACTCTCATTGCTGTCTCAAAGGAGCCTGCCAGAATGTGGTCAACAGGAAGCTGAGAATTGTTACACCACACCTACAAGAACAGAAGGGAAACATATAGAAGAGGAACTGTGTATATGGACACATTTCTCTTACCTCATCACCCCTAACTCCCCTTAACAAAGTTCCTACGCTGTGCACATAGATGAGTGTTAACAAGAAGGACTGAACCCGAAAAAAGAAGCGCTGAAGTAGAAAGTTCATGAGAAAGACAATCAAAGACTTGTGCCACTACCTGAGCTGGGCTGGCGCCCTTGGTGGGTGGCACAAAGAATCCATCCTCTGCTGCTCCTGCTGGACCAGCAGGAACATCCTGGGGGAACACACAGAGCAGCGATTAGTGTGGAAGTTGCCAGTACCCAGATGAAATCAGAGCTGGCCACAGCTGTGGTGATCAAGTCTCTGAAGAAGCCTAGAACATATTTGCCCCACCACCACCACCACAAGCTGTCATTGCCTTCCCAAGTAACTACAACTGGGCTATTTAAGAAGCCTCCCGGAAGCCTCCTACCAGTTCAGGGGGAAGATCCAAATCTTCTTCAACTTCCCATCCACCTCCTTCTTCCTGTCCTTTACCTAGACCTTCCTCTCCAAAGCCCTCTCCAGCATCCACAAAGCCATCTGCATGGAAGGGGACAGGGGGGAAATAGTCAGAACTCTTACACAGGCACACACTTACACTTCTGGAAGAAAAACTCTTGGATTCACCCACCTTCATCCAGCTGCAACTCTGCATCTTCTCCCCAGCCTTCGGTGCCAACGGTGTCGATATCAATATCAGCAGCCAAGGCACCCCCTTTGCCTACAAAAAGGGTAGGATCCTTCATTTACTCATCTCTGAGTGGGTCAGGTGTTAAGCAAAGAATTACATTAGGCCAGCACCTCCAATTGTCAAGTCCCATCTTATGCTAAAAGGACAAAGATTTGAGAGATTTGCCAAAGATGGTGTAAATGCCAAGCTGGATTCCAACTTCTGCTAGTAACACACAACAAATCTGAGGTTAACAGCAACAGTTCAGGAGCCACAGAGACAAATATCTCCATTCTGCGTATCCCAGCTTACTGCAACTTTCCAAGTACAAAGCAATACCTTTGCTAGCAATTGTTCCTTCGAAGAACCCCTTGGAGACAGTCAGCAAGGGCCAGTTGGTATCCAGAGGCATGACAGGAGCAGGAGGCTGCAGCAGCTTTGCATTGTGATCAATGTCTGGAATCTGAGCAGAGAGGAGCAGAAAACAGTTAAAGGCCACATGAGGAAAATCCCATTCTTTGACCTACCCGCCTCCAGGCGGCACAGGCATTCTAAAGCCTGATAAGCGGTGA